GCAAAATGATTGCTTTGAAACAAAAGGCATAGACCAAAATGGCGGGTTCAATTCCAATCGAGTTAGAAAAAAAACCGATCCAATATTGCGCCCCTATGTGTGTGCTCATACAAAACAAGAGTTAGATAGTACCGAAAAACCAACCGTAAACAATCACAATGGAACGGTAAATAATTTTAATATTCAATTTATGGTATTTTGATGGAGTAACACACACACGTGCTCTTGAGTTATATTTATTCAAGTGTACACCACACAATCGTTTGCATTCATACAAATAGACACAGTTGAAATACCTTAAGTATCGCCATTCGCAGTAATGCGAAATGGAATTTCGAAATGCGGCATTCTGCTGCAGATTATTTTTTAATGTCACTTGAGACCAAACAAAAAAGGAAGCAACAGAAAAACAAATTGTGTCGTAGTTTAATTTTCTTGTTTTGAAATGCAATGAAAATTGTATGTCGCCGCAGGTAAATGCGGCTCATCGGCGCGCAAACGAAACATAAATTTCAATTCTATTAGTAATTCATCACATCGTGTCACATAATCAACGCTAGACGAAATAAACGCATTTTTTTCTTTTTCAAAAAAAGATTATCAAAAGAAAATCACAACCGTCAAATGAGGCAAAAAAAAAGAGAAATAACGTAAAACCAACCTAAAGTGAAAGAAAGAGAGTAAAACGGTCACCGCCGACAACCAAGAAAATCCATTTTAAATAGTAAAACCGTAATCTGGGCGATACATAAGGCATGATGCTTGCGTGAAGAAATGCACACAAAGCAAAAACGAAAGGGGGGTGCACATTTAGAGAACAAGCGAGACAGAGAGGGTGCATACACACACACACAGAGCGAGAAAAAAATTGTTTAACAAGAAGAAAAATATTGCCAACTTCAACTTAATTTAGCGTGCACAGAACGAATGCCAAGAAAATTGCTTACAAAATGTACAGCTTAAAAATCCATAAATTACCTGAGCTGAAAGTGTAAAATGGGCAGAGAAAAAATGAAACGTTGCGAGCAAAACGAACGAACGAACAGCAACGAAAATAAAAACTTACCCATGGCAGCCAAATGTAGGAAAAACGGTGTGTAGGAGAGAAATGAGACGAAATGGCATTGGCGATGAATGTGGGGCAACAGCAGAAAAACCATAAAAGATTTATACTTAGATATTTATAAGTAGTCAAAACGAGTAAAGTGGTAGCGCGTTGAGCGAATGCTGCTGCACCAGATCGCTAGATAAGTAAGTTAGAAATGGAAAAATGGCATGCGGCTGAGAGAAAACACCAACCATAGATGGGGAAAAATGCGAGCAAAAGAGATGGAAGGAAAAAAAATACATACAAATCCAAATGAAGAATTGCAAATTTAAGCAATTTTTCTGATTTTCTCTCATTGCCCGCCCTTCATTCACTCATTTATTCGTTTTGACTTGTTATTACCAGACGTCATTGTTTCTGTTGCAACAGCAGCAGCTTTCAAGCCAGATCTTTCTATAAATTACCCTCGAATGGCGACAGCTGTTTTCGAACTATTAAAAACTGCTAACATTATCTCTGTGAGTATGGGAGTGCATGCGCGTGCACGATAAAGTAATTCGAATTTGAGCTTTGCATGTCGGATCACACTACGCGAATACAAACACTAATTTTTTCTTTCTTTTCAATCGAAAAAAGGGCAAAAAATAAAATCTCACGCAAACATTCGTTGCCGACGACGAATGAGGAGAGGAAAAGTCATCATCATCATTGCTAAATTTAAATTTCTTTTTTTTATCTATTCGTTCTTCGAGCTCATTTGTTCTGTACGCTCTCCAATCCCTTTTGTTATCTAACTACTTCTGTTTATGTTAACAAACTCCACTGTCCAATTGGATCTAGGCAACGGAACACTCTCAAGATTTCATTTTCACCCTAAAAATATTTGCAAGCGCATTTTATGCTTCAGGCGCTCGTTTTTTTCCACACAAAAGAAATACACCTCATTATAAACCGAACTTTTCGCCTTTGAATAGAAAAAGTGTTTTGGATATATTTTCGGTATTACAATGGCTTATTTTGTCTGGGTTAAGAGTTCTTTTTAATGATATCGCTTTGTCCGAGCGCTTTATCCAAAGTATTTGACACGCTTGGACCAAAATTTCACCGGAATCACTGTCTGAGTTGATTTGTTCCGTAATTGAATGTTCTTCTTGGAAGTCAATTTTGAGCGAATTATTTTATTTGAACATTCCTCGCCTGCCCCCCAATCATGATCGTTTTCTCGTTCACATTCATGGCAACAGAAGCAAAATTTATATTCTTTTAATTGGCCTCTTTTATATGTAAGCATATGAACAGACAAATTGGTTTTTTATTTTCTGCGGCTTATACTCTCTCACACTCATTTATGCGCTGTTCCAGTTGAAGTGCCAGTTAAACACTAAAAATAATATCAAACAATGTTAAAATATGCAGCTGTGCGCGTTACCCTGGAAATGCACTCCCGAAGGCAAAATCATTTGAATAAATGAAAAAAAAAAAAAAAGAGAAAGAAAGTCGTTGAGCGATGAAGATTTCACACGAAGTGTGGAAAAAGCGTAAAGATTTTTTCCAGTTACTGGCCGCTATCCATTTCCATAACTGTGTATTGCTTGCATTGTGTCGAAGTGTTTCATTTACAAAATATTACAATCATAAATATTCGCTATGTTGTATTTTGTTGGCGTCGTTTTTTCCTCCATTTGCTGGAGTTATAGTTTGTTAAATGAGAGAGATTTTCTGTTTTTTGCATATTATTCGAGTGAACAGATTTTAATCCGATGAATGATAACATTTTATAAGTAGCCAGAGCAACTGCAAATACTTTTGTGATTAGTTTTAACAACAGATAAAACCCATATGCAACACTTCGGTTGGAAAATAAATTTTAAGCGCAAAAATATTTGTGCATTTGCAACCGTCAGCAGGATAAAGCTTGGAAACAATTTTTGGCAACGGTAGTGCAAGGTTTTTCGCTCTGCACTCATTCAATCTTCTTCTTTTTGCTCTATTTCTCTGTATTTTTCTCTTTGACTCCGGTACGTGCCCTAATTGGTACTTTGTTCGGTTGTACGAAGTGAAGATAGAAGAGACCAAAACAAGTGTAGACACGAAAACGTAATGAGTGAGCGTATAAAATCTATATAATCAAGGAAATGGACATTTTCACACCAATGCAATTGTTGCTATAGCAACACCGAACCGAACAACGAAAAATAGACGCAACAACAATGTTCATTCGTTCGAATGGAAGCAATTTTTATAAAAGATATCATATACATTAGTTTGATTCAAATGGCTAGATAAAGTAGAATTGATAACATGAAAATGGAACCGCACAGAGAGCCATATGTCATTCTAAACTATCATAAGCCATTTCACCATTTTCGCATTTACACGCTTGAACCAACTAAATTTAATTTATGTGATGTCAGCACGAATTTTCCTCTTATTTCATTGGATGTGTTGTGACATTCGAAACCATTTCCAGACCACCCAGAATACACACACACACACACACAAGCGCACGCCAACGAAAATTGGTCGCTGCTAACAATCAAAGAGAAAAATTGCCTGAAACATGAAGATGGTCATTACGGCGTGAAACCAAAGTGCTTATGGCTTTGACAATGAATTTTGATTCCTATGGCAGCATCAAGATCTGTCGCTTGATGATAATTGACACATAAAAATTCCATCCGAAACTTCAAAAATGTCCTTCATTTTCGTATGGACAAAGCGACAAAAAAAATGAAGAGCTTCTTTGGGAAAGCGATCCAACCGAAAGAAAGAAATGAGCACAAGTGAATTAGATTAGTTTGTACGTTGGACCTATTTCCGGCATCACGAGTCGTTGACCGCAAAAGAAGAATGTTGTTGGTATAAATGATATAGAGATGGATCGCATTGTATATGGATTTAAAGCAATTTAGGTGTAATGAGCTTTACTCAATCAATGTTCGACCACTTTGGGATCTCAACCGCGTTCTAATGATATTAATGTAAACGTGACTGTAGCCCACACAAAATTACCACAATTCTCGAAATATTTGAAACGAAGGTGAATCAATTCATGTCAGTAATTAATTTAGACTTAATAGAGAGTAAAATTACTTCAAATAATATCGTGTGGCAAGCTTTAATTACACGGCCGTAGCCATAGGCACGCTTGGGTGAGCTGAGCTCACCCTAAAACTATTCGAGCTTACCCAAAAAAATTGAAATATTTCCGAATTTTCAACAAGAAATTATTTGAAAAAAAAAAATTATGAAAATTTGAAATTTACGCTGGTTCATATACGTTCGTAATGTAAATTTCGAAAGAAAAATAACATAATTTGGTTCTTTTTATCAAAATAGAAAAATTTCATGGAATTCCCTTGTTCACAAAAATTAGTCGTCGCAGAGCCCATCAAAGTTTTAAATCGCCACTGCAGCTCACCCAAAAATTGGTCGAGCTCACCCAAATGTTCACTGCTGGCTACGGCCGTGTTTAATTAAGAAACATAGATTTTTAATCAACCACCTAAATATACCAACAAAATAGCAGGTGTTACATAAAGCGCACGCTCCAATTTTCGAAAAAATTCAATCAACTCAAAGGTATTTACTATAATTTTGAGAGGTCAGAAACCAAAACGAATCAATTTATAGTATTATTATTACATAAGTAAAAAGGTCATAAAATATTGTTCCAGAAATAAATTTGGAGATCAAAGAAAGAAATTAAATTGCTCCAAATCATCTGTCATTGCCATGTGACTGTAATTTCAAAAACGTCGTTCTTCATATAACAAAAATTCAATTTCCCATTCAAGATATTAAATAAAAAGAATGCCGTGATTTTTTTATGTTTCGTGTATTTTTTTTCTTCTTTTTATTGTTCGCGTATATATCAACATCATTTTATTGGCTTAATTAAAACTTGATTTTTTTTTTCTAAATAAGATATACTAAAATAAAATTCAGTTGCTAAGCTTACAATTGTTACGTTTGGGATTCTGATTATTAATGTGTGCTTATAACTTTTGTTTTCCTCTCTGAGGCACAATAAATAAATTTAACTTATTAAAAATTAAGATATTTCTTGCCTTTGCTTTGTTCTACCTTATAAACTCGGTGAGATTCGAGCCAATATACTATCAAATACACGCACAATATCGTATCAAATCGATAGTAAAATGACCCTTTCTTTTAAAATTATGCTCACGACTTTTAACATTATCGATTTTAAGTTGATTTATTTTATTCGTGTGTCATTGGCTTCTTATTCGCTTTCACGTGACATTTGTTCGTGATTGATATAGGGACACTATTTATAAATATCAAATAAATTACGTTTCTATCAAAATGTAGCAATATAATTAATTTAAATTTTCGATTTTGTGTAAGTTCGTTTGCCGTGAGTGACTTTTTGTCGATGCTGCTCGTTTTGCTACTGCTATTCTGTCGTCGTTGTCGTTGATTGTTTAAAGCTTTTCACCGCTTACGCTCAGCATGTTGTAATAATTGTGATCGGGAAAGTGTTCCAATTGAATATAATCCATTTCGGTTACCAATAATTTATCGAGCAATTTTACTATTTCGGAGAAAGACGGACGGTCTTGAGGATCCTTAGACCAACAGTAGTACATTACGTTATATATTTCTCTGCGACAATGTTCCGGTTTTTCCAGCCGATAACCATCACGTACCTGTATGTGCAAGCAATAACAAAGAGAAATCAAAAACGAGAAAGAACAATAAATACCAATAAAATATATTTTATTGCAGGGAAATTTTCGCAAAACCATTTGAAACGGTATAATCAATGGTCATTATTAACTTAAACTACAATGTCGTAAGTTACTTGAAACGGATCTATAATTTTATCATTTTGGCTGTGGATGGAATTGAAATTCGGAGGTAATAGTTATTGGGAAAAAAAGGAGATTTATTCGCCTGAATTGAAATCATTTTCGGCGAAAATAAAAAAAGCAGCACCGGATGTAACGGAATTCGAAATCCAAACCAAATTATCATTTCAAAAAGACAATGATTTTTGTAATGATAGCATTCATCAAATTGCAACAGTTGCATTTTAATGCAATCGATTAGATTCAATTCGCGTTGTGCCTTTGAATACGAAAAATCCCATTTTCGTCAATGTAATGCTTGAAAATTGCTTCCTGAATCGAATAGAAATCCAGTTTTCGGAATTATAATCAATTCAAAAGTATTCGTGAATTTCAAATTTTGATCCGGTTTACATTTTATTGGCACACAAGGTACACGATTCAACCGAAAACAAATTGGCAAAAAAAATATATAAATCTCAAATTGCGAAGACAATTTTTCTGCATTTGAAATTGGATTGGATAACAAATGCAATGCATGTTTTCCAACAGAATTATTTACACGAATGAAAAGAGAATGAGAGAGACGGAAAGTTGTAAAAGAATCGCGAAAAGCCAGAAAGATTTCGATTTAAAATCATTTATATTCAATCAAAACGAAGTACTGCCATTGAAGCAGTACAAAAAAAACGACCGAAGAAAACCATGAGCCCAACAGCAATTGGCATGCACGAAATAAATTTAGCATGTTTTGCTTAAGCATGACGAAAAAAATCATTCTTCCGTTCATATTTGGCTTCATAAAACGATGAAGAACGTTTTAAAATTCAAAATATGACGTATAATTTACGGTGTCGTCGAATGGTTAAGCGAAAAAAATGTTCAATTGGCTCAATTGAAAATCGGTGCAAGGATAAAGATAGAAGAGAACATAATTTAAACATGAATATAACACCGACGAACAAAAAAAAGAACTCGCCGACAACAAAGAAGATGTGAGAAAAAAGAGAAAATGCAAATCGTCGATTGCACATAACAACGTAAAAACATTTTGAATTCCATAGAATACAAGCGGCGGCGAAGTCGATTTTCTCTTATCAATTTATTCACATTTTATGCATACATTTGTCGCAGCTGATGACATCGAAACAATATTGTCTGATATGGGTGTGTGTGTGTGTCATGCCAAATGCCTCATGATTTTTTCTTCCGTCTCTCGATTTGATTCGTGGTACGCTCGTGCCATCTTGTTTTTTGTTTCGATTACAAAGAAGAAGTTTTCTTCATCATTATCAAGTTTTGGAGTCATCTGCTTACAGCTCAATAAAATATGCAAATTTTAAACAGCTCCAGATAGAAAAATAGTTGTAACGATAAAAATGGCAAAAGAAACAATATTCTATCTGTGTGTAACACAGTTTGCCATCACTTTTGCACCAATGTGATGACAACCAATGAATTGAACAAAAAGTGGCCGCGCGAGATTTTTCGCTGTAACATAAAAAGTTTTTTTTGTACACGCGAGTGTCTTGCTTACCTTTCGCATGACATCTGCTGCAGCTGTGCCTGGATACGGTGTTGAGCCCAATGTGACAATTTCCCACATCAAAATTCCAAAACTCCAAATATCTGACTTGACAGAGAATATATTATCATAAAGTGACTCGATTGCCATCCACCTGTGAATGCGGGAAAATGAATGTAAAGAAAATTGTAAGAAAAGAAGCAAAAGAAAGAAGAAAAAAGAGAAAAATAAAACTGTTTTATGACTAGGCATAGAATTACATAATCTCACATAGTTTTGTCAAGTGAACAACAACAAAATGAGCTGATATGAGATAATAAAACGAAAAACAAGCACTGCCGCAAGAGTACACATTAGATAGATGGAAGGAAAACCAATTCACGTACGTTCACCGTCTTGGAACATCCAACTTTCGTTCGGTATGTGTGTGTGCGTAACCTAAGCAATTGGAAACTCGTGCTTTCATCTTAACGTGTCAACGTTATAACATTTTGCCGAGACGAGAATAACAACAGAAATTTATTCTAATAATATAACGACGATGTTGTTGGTGAATTGAAGCAATTTTTCCGCTGCTCGGTCGTTGAGTGCGTGTTAGTGTGTTGTGAGTGACTCGCCGCATTTTCATTCTATGCGGGTGTCTTTTGACATTTTTCCGCCACCAAATAAATGACGTTTGCAAAAAGAAAACATCACACACACACATAGTAAGCGAAGTGAACGAACGTTTTGTATTAAATGTGTGGCACGTTATATCAGATATCATAGTATAACATACAAACACACATACGACCGAATCGACTCCCTTAAAAGCCTGTTTGAATCCAAAGCACGAACCATTTTATTGGAACCGGTTTATTTTGCAAATACAATATTCCAAGTGTTTTGCTTCGATCCTGTTGCTGTCGCTATCTCTCACTCACCAATTCTGTTGATTTTAATCTGAAGAATGCATGAGCATCGTTGACAAAGCCGTTTTCCTTGAGATTTTCAAAGGTTTTTTTTATTTCTTTCTCTGTCGAACGCATCTCATCTCATCAACCGTGAAAGTGTATGATATGAGCACATTTTTTTTCATTGTGCGTTGTTATATCCGTTTTTATGGGCGAAAACATTGAATCAGCCTTTTACCACATTTTCATTGCTTCAAATTAAGATAAACCGCATTCAGGAAAATAATCACTGTTTCGCTTGTGTGCAAACAGCGTATCATAATATAAAAATGTTGCAAATAAAAGTGGGAAATCAACGTTGGCAATGTTTGTGTTTGATATGATCAAGGCGATCAACATAAATGTCAAATCGTAGACATCAAAGCAGGCACAAAATCTGTACAGTACTTTTGTGATTACAGTTCTATTTGACAAAGAAAATGTGATTAGTTCCCCCAAATACAGGTCGATAAAATCGCTTTTGCATTGCCACAGGCCAATGGCTACGGTGAATGCATGCAAACGGATAAAAACACATTTCCATTTCTATCATCTAAAACACCTACGGATATATATGCGCTAACGTTTCCATGCAAAAGAAAGAATAATTTACATAATTTGTGCTTATTTTGATTCGCAAGCGAGTGTATCTTTCGTTTTATTTCCACTTCCAACTTTCTGGCGAGGAAAATCGTTATCACCAGTTGAAAATATGTGAACACGGTCGCGTTCACATTTACTACATTTCCGGAAGTGTATATATATATCCACTGAAAATGGTAGTCGTTTTGAAATTTTTGTTGAATTCAAATGTCATGTCGTTTTCAAAGAGTCGAACTTAACCGAACTTCGATTGACATGTTGTTCCTCTTTTTTACTGAATATCAACGCGGCAGCTGTCAACCGCAATCAGATTAAGTTCAACCTTTGGAAGACGAAATGACATTCACTTCGAATCAATATCAATTACTCAACAGAATCTACATGAAAAAATGTGATATGTATCAACAATCAACATTAAAATGCAAATTTCTGCCCAGAACTTACCTGATTGGTAATTTTCCTTCACTTTTTCGCTCGTAGATTTTCGACGTAATCACATCACGTGCAAAACCAAAATCAGCGATTTTACATGTATGATCATCAGTTATCAATACATTTCGAGCGGCCAAATCACGATGAATTATCTGTGCAAATGCAAACGAAAATTGAAAATAAAAAATTTATAAATTTATATTATTCTTCAACCAAAATACGATTCGACTGAAGCGAAGCATTCTTCAAATTCATTCGCTCGAATACTTTTGAAAAGTTTTTTTTTCTTCTCTTCATTGAAAATGTTGCGAAGCGCATAAATTCCGTGCTCAAATAAATTAAAAACAACAACTTTAGAAAAAAAATTAACAAAAATTGTTTTTGAAATCTTCACGAAATCTCAATTGTTTTTAATTAATTCAATAATGTGCTACTGTGCGCTCACTAGAGTGAAATGTTGAACAATTTTCAAATGTAGATAAGAGAATAATGAAAGCATTCGAGTGTATCTAATAAGTTTACTTACGCCTCGCGATGATAAGTAATCCATTCCTCTTGCCACTTGGTACATGAACGATGTCAGATCACCTGATGTTAAAATATTTGATTTTCCATGTGTATTGCCGTAATGCCTGTCCAGAGTGGGGGGCCGGGGGTGGTGGATGAGAAAAACCGAGAAATTGAATAGATAAAAAGCACACGAAAACTTAATATAAGCACGAAAATGACATGTACGTTATGCCAAAAATGTGACAACGACGAAAAACAAAAGCAAAAATCAATTAAATTGAATGTGTTTGTGTATAAATTGCGATAGAGAGATGGTGTGTCGTCATTGTGTAATGCGCTCGTTACAGCATGTTGTACGTGTTAAGGAGATTGAATCAGCTATAAGCTTTTACATGCTATGGAATGATTGTCGTGTATATTATAAGTTACATTTTAATGTGAACGTTCGAAAGGTACCGAGAAATTATCACATGTGCACGCGACATAACATATTACCATATTTTCGGATCAAATTATTTTGTTATGCATGCAATAACCACGGATGAAAAGTCATCCGAAAAGCTTTTGACTGGAAAATTTACCGAACGAACACTTTTGCCATTCGTATTTTTGGGTGCGCTTTCAAATGTACGCCGCGCGATGCTCCTTAAATTTGACTCGACATTCATTTTTCATGCGAGTGCAGATGAAGAGCAAGTCGAAAGATGCTCAGCACTTTCTTTGATAGCACACATTTTGCCTGCATAATTTTATTACACATACACAAAGAAAATGGCATTTTATGTACGATATACAATTTGCCATAATGTGTGCATGTGTTCGCTTTGTGATAGCGTGTTGCACGAAAATTTAACATACAATATTCAACATTTTATGAAGAGAGAGCATTTTCGTTAAACATTCAGCAATTTTGGAATTAATGATTTTACCAACGTACGGAGGACACTACACGAACACGAAACCAATCAACGACAACATAACATTATTGCACTTTGGAGTGGTTCGCAGTTCAAATGTGGGGATTTAAAGCAACGTTGGGCGGATATCACCGCTTGACCGTTCAAAAATCATTAAATGAACTCCAAGCTGGAATATTTGCACATCTGTGCATATTTCAGATACTAAATCATTAATTTCACTTGCACACGAAGAAACTGAATTGAAGTGGTTGTAATAAGAACTGAAATTGAAGAAGAATATGTTCGTGTGGCAAGATTTTTGTGTTGAGCCACCCTAACATGTGAGTAATTAGCGGCAAAGTGGCAATTTAGCTCACTCAAGCGAACTACTGAGATGGCGTGTTTGACGTTCATTTGAGCATCATAATTTCGTATCCTCTTTGTGTTCCCTTTAATGTGTCTGTTTTTCCTAATTTTCTTATTGTTGCGTGCACAAAAATTACACATTACAGTGTTGCTTGGCAATTACATGTGGGTTTTTGAAGAGATCACAAAAATATTGTGATTTCGCCTTTTATTTTTGGAAACACAAGAATCTCTGATGCATTAATAATAAAGTAGCATTGAATTTTGATTGGGCGGCACTGTACTTTATTGTTTTTAATTGGTTTGGCGAAAATTGTGTTTCCCGGAGAGAGTCACTCGAGTGGTTTGAATCAAGTTAATCACGTTGGCCTTCGTTACTTAATACTTAATTTTCTTTTTCTTCAATTAATCGGCTCAACATGGAGGTGGTGGCCAAAAATGGAGTTTCTAACTGTGATTCATTTATCACTCCTACACTGTTCCAATTTGCCAATCGATCTGTTCTTTATGCTTGAAAATATTTCACGCAGTCGCTGAAAATGGTTTACAAACATTTTAAATAACCACTGGAATGAATTCAGCGAACAATGTCACAAAAAAAAACTGCGAATAATGTGCAAATCTTTTGGATGCGGTATTTCAAGTTTATATTCGAGATGTAGTGCGTTTTGTGTGCATGCGACACAATACCACAATGATTTTAATTAAACATTGAGTAAATAGTGCTGAAGAGCGGCAACAGCAGAGGCAGTATAGTCGTCTCTGGCAGCTATTAAATCGGAACAGTTGGAACGGCGTCAGTAGCACAGAATAATAATGGCAAACAAAGCAGACAGTAATTATAATCTAAAAGCTTTTCGCTCATTTTCCCTATCAAGTCTTTACGTTCGCAGAGAAAACCGGAGAGATAGAGAGCGGAAGAGTGTGTATGAGAGAGAGAGAGAGATTTTTGTCGTCTTTTCCGCCAGAGAGAGAATCCAATTTCAATCCCTTTATTACCAGGCCCATATGTGCGTGTCTATGCCACTTTTATGAACATTTTCATATGTAAACCGGCTGTTATTCACTTTGCATTCAATAAAATGTACACTTGGCATCCTTTTCACAACCAAATTCAATTTTCCATGGTGAAAATGAGATAGGCGATTGCAATACTCTTACGTTGATAGTTCTCTCGCAGCCAAAGAGTGTCACCACTTTGTGTAAATATATATTAATGCAAAAGTTGTGAAAGAGAGAAAGACGATGAATCGCATCAAAATGAGAAAAACACAAAATACACATGCCGAGAGAGAGAGGAAGGGTTGGGGGCTACATTCATGATTCTATGATGGTAATAGCTGTGCGGCAATGGAAATATTGTATCAAATGGCAAACATACAATGGAACAATGAAAAATAATAATATTACAAAATGAACGAAACGCCCGTAGCAGAATCGGCATTGAGTCGCAAAATATAGTAAAGTAATAACAAAATTTCATAAAATTGAGCAACAAAAACACAAAGTAATTAGAATGTTCCGCGTTGGAAAATTCATTCTAGCGATTTAATCGTTAACTAATAAGTACCGCACATAATTTCAATGTGGAAATGCAACTCTGTCTCAAATTTTTTTTTTACTACCATTCGCCATACCATATATTTTGTGAAAGCCGTTTTATGGAGTCGAATGTGTAGTGAGTATGTCGATGGCAGTGCCAGCATCCCGTTTCTCACTACGCTATTATTGCTTTGCGTCAACTTGCTTCGGTACGCAATCCCAACTGCACATTTTCACATTTTCATGGCAGAGAAAATGCCTCAAAATACAATTACCGCAAATGCTGGAATTCCATTGAAGCCGATATTAAATTTCACTGTTGTCGTTCAATACTTCTGAATAATGTAACACATTTCCTCTCTGTGTGTGTGTCATTTTCTATCTTTTCCTCCATATCCCTCTCTCACACTCTTGTTTGGACTTTGATTGCCTGTGCCCTTAATTATAAGTTATATTGACTTGGCATTCGAAATGATCAAACAGCAACAAATATTTGGCACATTTTTATGGGAATCTGTTTCCCTTTCTTGTCTGTGATCCATACTATTGTGTATACAATTCGAAAAAAAATCGGTTCCGTTTAATTGGCATGCGAGGAAAAAAAAGAAAATACAGGACATTGAAATAAAGCCAAAGCTTTTAAGGTTCTTGCATAATGCTGATTCGTTGGAAATTACAAATTCTAATAACATTCATGATCAAACATACACATCCATACACCCCCATGCAACAACGATACCGACAAAAATAATTGCTTGTGATACTCTTGCTGTTAATAAGTAATTCGAATTATTTTATCCTTTTTTTCCATGATGGTTTTTGGTTACCAATTGAGATTACATTTGTTCTCTCTCTTTCGCTCTTCTTTGCTGCTTTTAAGCTTTATGATTATGGGTCGAAAAAAATATGAAGTATTCAAAAGTAGAATACAAACCGGATAGGGAAAGCAATTGCGTGCAATGAGATATTTTCTCTTACAAAGAGTCGCAATGAGTGACTCATTGTCGCTTGTGGCCATTCTCACACCCACTTGTGTTTTTGTCAAAATAGATGGTCCACTCGTTGTTGCTCTCTCTTTTTTCCGCCTGTCGTCTAGATTTTCATTAATTATTATATTGTGCTTGTTGTTGTGTTTGCTCATAAAACGAAGGCGATAGTATCACAACAGTTTCGCACTTTGTGCACACTTTTTTCGGGCAAAAAGAAAAATGAAAGCGTACATTTTTTATGGGTTTTTCATATTTTATTTTCTTTTTTGCTTCAGTTGCTGGTCTTAATGCCGGTTAGTAATTTTCGTCTTCAGCAGAATTTTCTTTGAGGTTGATATAAATTGGAATTGTTGACTAGCGGTGCGCAAATATTTTCGAAGAGCACTTTTTCAATCTTTTTCGGTCGGTCGGTGTGTGTGTGTGTTATGATTTAAAAGGGAACCCATAGCGCACCGGATGATATATTCGAAAAAAATGAGCTCGATGGACGGAAGTGAATCGAACGAGAAAGTTCGGCGTTTTTTTTAAAACAGTATAAAAATGCGATAAAAAAAAAACGAGAAAGACAGAACGAATTGGAGCCAAATGGGTGGCACATAGGCAGAGTATCTTTCAGCGGTACTCTTATCATTGCTTTTGAATCGGGTTGAAAAGTACAAAGGATGGAAGAGGAAGATGAGAGAAAAATTAACGAGATATTTATTAGAACGGAAAATTATTCTGCGCTTTTGCCATACAGCAATTTCCACTGAACATCCAACCGAACAGACACAAACACACATACAAATTATTATGTTTTTTATACAGGAAGGGATGAGAAGAAGCTAAAGAAAGGCTCACAGAATTAAGATTCTTTTTGTTGCTGCTGCTCTCTCTTTCTCTTTCTCTCTCTGTGTTGCTCTTTTTTCGTTTTTGCGGGTTCATTTATGTTTTATTTGCTATACAATAACATGCGAGCGTATCTTTTGCTGTGATCAATGTAATCATTTTATGCTATTAGGAGACGTCTTTGTAAATCGCGTATCCACTCAACAGCACTCGGTCGACCACCACACACCATCACCACGGTATTTGATGCACGGCTTCACTTTAAAGTTCAGCATTTAGCTGCAGAACAAAAAATTAAAAACGAAACACAAACCGACCAAAGAGAGCCACCTAAAGGACAACACAAGAACCTGAAATTCATTTGATCCGATGGATAAAAATGACAAAGTCAGTTATGCGATACTGGCAATAATGTTAATAATGATGGTGGTGAACGAAACGAACGACCCCCGCATTCGGTCAACGTACACATTACCGTTCCACCAGTTTGGTTTGGATACAGTTTCGCTGAACCGTAAAACGTACACAGACACAAAGATCGTCTTTCTTTTAATATTCAACGTAGTTCATATTAATCTGTTATGTGAGTGAAAGATAACAGCGATGATAAAAAGCATTTTATAAGCTCAGTGCATTTGAAAAGCGAAAAAAAAGGACACCAAAAAACGGATCCAATTCATTGGATCATCTGGTGCTTATACGGCGGCTCATTTTCGCTGATACAACACACAAAGTAGATTGTCAAAGAGATAAAACTTCATTTTAACTTTACAAATGAAAAGAAAGAAAATATTATTTTTATCGATTATATACGGATTGTTTGGTTGGAGGTTTAAGATAGCAGAAAATACGGGTATACACCAACAAAGAAGAAGACGAAAAAAGATTATTATTATTATTCCAATAATGAAAATAATTTTCCAATGAATTCGCTTTGCACCATCCCATCCCAATCGACTCGAGTATTGATTGTACTTTTGTAAAACTTGTATATACCCATTCTATCGACATTTATCGGAATTTAAATGTCTTTTGCGCAGATTGTGATTAAATTAACGGTTGCACCGATACTGCCAACCAATTCATTTTCATGCTGAATAGATAGAGAATCAAAATGGCACACAGCATTCTATTATTCAAACACGACACGAAACTGAACGGGAACCAACGAAAGAATGAAAAATAGAAAGCGAAATAAAAAAAAGAATCTGAATACACTTTAAAATCGAAAAGTTATTCAATCCAATTTGAAAAGTTGTCGAATGTAACTGTTTGATATTTTGAGCTGAGTGATTTCATGAGCATGAAAACTTTATCAAATTACAAACTTTTCGGGATATTTTCGTTGTCGTTTTGAGTCGTCGAATTCTTAATTCCCATTTTATTAGATCTCGTATACACTATTGCTTTTATTCGCGCATTTCGCTGTAGTTGAAATTTTGCATTTTTAAACCATTAAAGAACAAGTAGAACTTACCGTTCGGCCCGTGAATTTCGTAGGTATGTTTGTAGTTTGCCACAATTCACATATTCCATAATGACGAAAATCGGCTCTTTTTCGACGCAACAGCCCAGCAAACGGACAACATTGATGTGCGGATCCAATGTCTTCATTACCTATTTCAAAAATAAAAATCAAATTTAAAATTTAGCTATCCATTTGAACCATTTTATAAGCAAACAATGACAAATATTTTTTTTTCGTTTTCAGGTATTGTCGAAGGATTGACAGTTATATCAACAGTTCACGGTAGATACTCTCTACATTGTCTGACAACTTGAATTGGTTTCGGTAGGTTGACAATTTTGTATAGGCAAAGTTTTCGGAACTTAGTTTTCTATAAATAATTCAAGCGATGGTGACATTGGTTCGATAAATTATAAATTTCCATTCAAATGCCAAAATTCAGGTCAAAATATACATGCTATTTTCCATACATATAGTTTGTCTAAGTCGAACTGCTACGTATAAATATTGAAACGGTGTTTTCTTGGCACCAGAAAATTTAGTTCAAAATGTAAACGAAAACAGAAAATATACTTCAAATATTGACGCAACACGTCAAAATCTAACGTTGGCATAGCCCAATTCACCGTTCGAACTTTTGTTAAGATACGGATCAAATTCAAGTTTTTGCAGGTTTACAAAATACTCAATCACTACAACAACACTCCGAACTACATACACATGCAGTCGCTCACAATGGCACGGTCCTTTTTGATCGAAAACATTCACGCATTTTACGCTGAATGCCTTCCCAAAGGCAAAGTTAATAATTTTTTCGAGAAATAAGAAAGAACAACACAAAGTGACTGAAAACTGTTGGCGAGAGGTGATGTTTATCCGCGCACTCATCGTAAATAAAGCTGAAACTTTTACATTTTCCGCTTCCTCTGTGAATTCTATTCGGGAAAAAGTTTTTCTCATTCGTTGTGCAGATCGAGGGAAAGAGAGAGAGCAAAGACAGAATAAGATTGAAAATACTCAGAGCTTTTTGGTAAATGTATGTAAATTTTGTGAGTTTTCGGGCGGAGGCCACTGAATTTACTGCAGCTCGTCAATATGCCACAAGTGTAAAAAGGTAAACAAAAGTTGAGCTTCTTTCACTCGTTTCACTTTTCTCTTTATGTGTATGTGTGCTTAATATAAATACAAAACTGGCTTTGAGCTGCTGCCGAGCATAAAGAGAATTATTTCCTTTGAGAACATTCAACTGAAATAAACTAAAAACTAAAATTTAAAAAAAACAGTGCACTTTTGGCTTGAGTATATCAAAATCACTCTTCATAATCAAAACTAACCTCTTGGAATGGTCGAATCGCCATTAAAAAGTTAATGAAGTTTCGCTTTTACACATAAAGAGACATGAAACCGAAGAGTTACCTTCAACAATTTTAGTGCAAAATTTAAATCTCGAAAATTCATTAGCAGGATAAATAAACCGGTGAAAAGATTGTAAATTGGCATATTATCATGTTGATACCGTAGCAATCTGCTTATTTTGAAACGAAACATTGTACGGTGTACAGTACAACATGAAAATCGAACGTGTTGATGAGTGCCTCTGACTATATTAGTGAAAGTTTTTTGCTAAAAGGATTTCGAATTAAGTTCATAATGAATTGATGACTCTCTTTGGATAATATATGAACGTAATGCTAAAAATATAAGTAAAAATTGTGTTCGATGAAAAATGTGAATAAAATTTTCTATCGCTGTGCTATGTGTGCTGTGTTATAGTCAGTAATCCAATTTGAAGCCACATAACGGTTGATAACGAGTTTTATAACAAAGTTTATAAGCCAAATGGAAGAATGCTTAAAATCCAATTAAATATCTGGTCTAGACATATTCTTGTCGAAGCATTTCTTTATTCTGAAGATAGTTTTTGAGATGCATGAAAGTGCTATTCCATCAAAATTAAAATCCATACCAATTCTATTGGAATAAAACCGGAGAAAAAACTTTTTTTGCCGTTGCATGCGGTGTCTGTTTGATCAAAGCTCAAAACATCAACTATACAAAAATATAAATTCGATAAAGAGTTTGAAGTTTAACTTTAAAAGCTGCATTATTTCCCAACTTATTCGATTCTTTTGCGTAAATTCGATGCTGATTGGCAGAAAAATTGAAAATTCAATATGAAATCGAACACAAAAGCGATTCAATCAAATAGCAAGCAGCAACAGCAGCGATAAGAGCGCGACAGGCGAAACATCCACATCGAATGCACATACAATATAAAGAAACAGCCAATTTAAAATCTATTATTCTTTCTTATGTGAAGGCGCTTTGTGTAAGCACACACATTGCACATATCGGAAAAGTGTTTGCAATGGAACGCACGATAAAATAAGCTGACGTTCAATGTACTTAACCGCCAGTTTCACTTGTGTATTCGATTGAAAGGGGCTGTTAAAATATTTATTTCTTCTTTTGATTTCAATACATTAGCAAGTGTGTGAGCACCGTGTGTTTTACGTCTATTCGATTTTCAAATTGATTGTTCGAGCTTTTTTTGTCTTCTTCAGATATTCAATTTATATATATATTATTTGTGTTGGTTTCTATCGCCTTTTTTTCAACATCATTTCATGGCACATGAAACGTTGAGTGAAGCGTACAGCCGAAAAAAACCCCAACATTAAAGTAATATGACTATGAATGAATGTTGAAAATATTCTTTCGATAAATTGAAAAAGTCCGTAAAGCGCGCACACACGAACCGTATTGGGAACAAGGAGGGGGGGCGAAAATGATGTAAAATTCAATATGTGCGAGCATTTTGCGGTTATTCATGTCTTTCGACGAAGTGCATTGCTAACATTTCCAATTTATATTTTATATCGATAGAATGGTATCGGTGACGTTAACGGCGCGCCTGGGAAAAAGTTCAATTGAAAAACTTATTGCGTTTAATGTAAATATACAACACAAAACATGTTCGTTCTTCGTAAATGGTGGTCTAACTTATTCACCTGGTATTCTCTTGTCAGATGACGGTGTTGGTTGTTGTTTTTCCTTCTCGGTTTTTTTTTCAAAATTGGTATTTTCCGAGCGCTTATTTTATTCGCATATTTTCGATATGTTTGACATTCGCGCAATATTCTTAAAAATTCCAACATAATATGTCGCTTTTTAATCGAATCTACTTAAAGAGAATTCACAACTACAGTGGAATTTTCGTTACGTTCGAACATATTTTTGCATCAAACTTTATACTTTTATCGTCAAAGATTCGCCAAATGATTTCAAAGCATATTTTTACTGTCGAAGCATGTGCACCAGAAAGACGTAAACGATTCCGTTCACGTAGCAAACATGTTTGCTAATCGTTCACTTTGGTTTCCATGGCGAATGAAAAGTGCATAGAAACCAAAATGTGGTATTGTGTGAGGCGAGGGAGTGATGTACGAAAGAAGAGAGGTGAAGAAAAAAAAAACGAACACGAATTCCATAATTTGAAATATAATACACAATGCAACGCTAAGCTGCATTTCATTGTTCAAGCATTTTGTTGCAAACCACACCAAAAATAAAAATCTACAATGGAATCGTATCGCTTTGCGAAGCAAGATAAAATATATATCGGAGCATTGTGAAATGACATACGGATTAAGTATCACAGAATGGGAGATGGAGAGCAAGACCAATAGACAGAAAAAGAGAAGAAGATGAAAAAAACCCGGTCAGAACGAGAATGAAAATAAGCGAAAAGAAAATTTGCCACAGAAATACGATGTGCAGTGTGTACGAAATTGATAAATGATTCCATATTACAATAGCTGATATAATAAAATGAAATAAAACTTCTTTCTCTCGATCCATCGCATCGTCTCTTTCTACAACGTTGTGCTCTTACTCACATGAAACGATCCGCGAGAAAGGATTACCACTTTTTAATACACTGCCAGAGAGTAATCGTGAAACGTATTGCAATTTTACTTTCTCCTGTTGCAATAAAGCCATTGTTGTTCCTTGAAAATGAATGTGAATTGAGTCGAATACGACCAATTGGGGGTGGGAGAGGCGGTAAAGTGATACAGAGTGTAAAAGTAAAATGTAAGCTTACCTGTAGTTCGGAATGTAAATCATTTCGTTCGATGTCCGTTGCATTCTCTTTCAATGTTTTAACAGCCACTGTGGTTACACCTTCTTTACCTGCAAAAAAAACACCACACAAAACAACAAAAACCATTATACAAACGAATCGAAACGAATTGAAAAGTATATTTATGTGCACAAGTCGAATATTAAGCTATTGCACTTTGGGTTTATTAAAACTCTATCTTATACGAATCTCGAATGAAAAGCAAGCGAAGCGTCGTGTGTTTTCACTGCAACAGTGCAATGTGGTGTGCTGGGTTTGAAATTTTTGCCCTTTTCGACGAAAAATCTATATATATTCTTCATGAACATCGTAGATGCAATTTAATTTTAATTGGCGCTGCAAATGGCCACCCTTTGGCATTCGATACATAGTTAATGCTTTGATAATGAAGATATATGCCAAAATATATCTTTTAAATGGATTTTTCGAAAACTCGATTCACATCGAACCACCTGCAAATGCACAGATCTGAATCGTATTGATCGTACCTTTAAGATTGAAAGGTTGCAAGGGGATACTGTATGTATGTGTGAAACAAACTAAATTAAATTTATGGGGAAAGGTTTGTGATTCGCATATGGGATTTTAATTGCGAAATATGAGAAAACATTTTTGAAGAAGTTTTGTAAATGAAATAAAATTTGTTGCATTTCATAGAGGACTTTCGATGAATTTTAATGAATTATTATGTGATTGTTGTTGTTGGTTGTAGAATTGTGATAATGAATCCCTAGACTTGAACCTGGCTTAATGAAATCGAGAATCTGTACTGTAATAGTGATGGAATATGTATAATTCATCAAATTTTACCATCATTCAAACTAATTTGTTTCATCTAGGGGAAATTATCTGTTTGAAAATGGACAAAACTCGTTGAAGTTGCATAATAAGTCGTTACTTCAATAAAATAATTCAAACAATTCGCAAACAAATCTCAATAAGTTGTCACAATTTGATAAATACAAAAGATACAAATTTCCTAACATTTATAGCGAATTATTTGCGACTTGTTTGTGAATAGCAACTTCAATAGCAAATCATTAAAATATCGTAAAATTCTCGATGTTCTGATCGCGATCCGATCCCCTAGTGTTTCGTTTTTTGCTTGGGTCTCTTTCATTGAAGAACACTTTTACTGCAATAAAGTACTGCGTTCGGATGTTTGTTTGAATGTTAGAGCATCCAATGCTTGCCTAATTGGTTTTGGTTTGGCATGTATTCAAAGTTTACACGTATCACTTCATTTTGATTAACGATCAAAGTGCATAAAGTCGTATTGAGCTCTTACTTCGATTTGTAACTCGAGACAATTTCATCTATCTGATATTATAGTCAAAGAAATTGAACTCAGCGATGCGTTGCATTTATCGATCACAAATAAATTGTAAAGTATATCTGTTTCTAAGAAGTTTCATAATCTTATCTCACTTTCTGTACATTCAAACGGGATTGACTTGAATATATTTGTTTGCAGAATAAGTGGTTTCTTTTAATGGAATCAACTCAATTGGATTCTATCTCGTTGCTATCGCAGAACAACATCCTCGAGGAAATTATGTAATTTTTGATAGGCGATATACCGTTTCATGAAATTCATGAAAATTTAATCCAACTCTGGCCAATTACTGATAAAACTAATTTTCCCATATTTATTGAAACAATTTTGCTCTTATTTCCGTGTAATTTTATGCTGCGAGTGACACTGTCTCATTCAGTCGTTGCGGAAAGATTGTTGTCATTTTAAAATGAAAATGCTAACCATGGAAATTTATTCGTTGCGATAAGAGAGAAAGAATGAGATGATGTACCGAGTCTATTAGCGCCATAACAGTACGGAAGAGAGAGAGTGAGCGGAGAGAGGAAAGAACTTTTCGCCAAACTGAGAATAAAGAATGTTATAAAAGAAACGGAAAAATATATTGGCGTGTGCGACACATAGATATGCGAATGGCGAAGATCTCCCCAACAAAAAAGTAACCTGTAGCGACAGAAGGAGAGAGAGAGAGAATGTGTCGAATTACGAAAGGCAAGTGAAAACATAAATAAAAACCAAAACGAAGGGAAAATGCTCGTAAAACATGTAAAGTGTTACGCAGTACTGCTGTACATGACAAGGCAAGCGAATGAGCAAAGTTTCGAGTTGTTGTCATTACCATTGCCATTGCCAATTTACTTGTGTTTTTGTTTTTACATCGATTTTCCGCTTGTTTGCATGTATCTTGTACATTCGCTTGATATTCACTGCACCCTAACACCACATTCACACCGAATGTTGCGCTTTGTCTTATCTACCCGCTTCCAAATTCTATTTGCTGTCATCTCATCCTTAATGAATGTTGCTTTTTTTTAATATACGAAGAAACTTTGCAAATATTTCGGAAAAATTCCGTCACACAGCCAAAGATCGTGCGGTTGATTGTTCCGAATAAAAATGTGTGCGTTTTTGAGTGGTATATGTATATACACGTCTATTAGTAAATTAGCTATTTACTGGATACAATACTGTGATTATTACATATGATATTGAGAGAAAGAACGTAAAAGCGATGTCGAAATTCATTTCGATGAATGATTCAACAAAAAGAAATCGTTGGTTTTTCTGGTTTTTGTTATTGTTTTATAAAAACTTTTACCAACACAAGTGCTATGTCTAAATGCGAACAGACAGCAACGAATTTTATACCATCTCTGTGTGGAGATTGGTATTCAGCACGCTATCTAACAAGATGATCAGAACTTTTTAGCTCCTCATCTTCAGCTAGCTGATATGATTCCCCTCTCTCACTCTTTCAACCCTTATTACTTCGCAAACAAAAATTTTCTTATCGATTTCCGTTCATAAAACAAGTTGTAAAACAGAAGAAAACGAAGCGAGCAAAAAACAAAAGGAATAAGAAGGAAACAATCGCTATGTAGAGAGAGAGAGAGCAAGAGAAGAAAAAAATGTGGAGTGGCCATCAAATGAAGCAAAAAAGTGGAATAATTGACGTTAAGTGAAAAAATAATGAATAAAGATGATGAAAAGAAAGACGATGAAAATAAGAATGGAAAAAGTTATAATGGAAAATTGTTGCTCTACACAAATAATCATATTATTTTAATAAATTGTTCGCCAAGTTCTCCCATTCGTTCGTTGCCATTTCTACATCTTTTGCACATCGACGTGGCATTCTCTTCATTTGCACTCGTCCATTTCAAGAAGTTCTTTTTTTATTATTCGACTGTTCTTGTTTTTTGTGCTCAATGTGCATTCGTTGTTCTCCGTTTCTCTCGGCCTCATCCCATTCATTTTCGCTTTTTCACTCTTGGTACACACTCGACAAGAAAATCTTTACGAAACGATTCTTGATGCTGGTGTTTTTTCTTCTCCTTCTTCTTCTTCTTATTTTTCTTCCATTCAGTACCCACAATTGTCGTCTACATTGCGAATTCCATTTACTATTGTTATTACTCGGAAGTATGTATTACTTGTGTATAATTCAGTCTGCTTTGGTGCTCGGCATCGAATTAAATCACCGTTCAACGGAAAATAAAAAAAAATTATGAGAAATGATAAAAAGCATTCGTTTCATTCGAAGTTTTCTGTGACTCCCTTTGTGTGCTCCACCAACTTTCTTATTCTTTTGGCAGTTCTTGTTCTTTTTGTTTGGGGCCTTTTGTTTTGGCGTACATTAAAAATAAATGACACAACAATGAAAAGAGAAAGAGAGAGAAAAAGAAGTGAAAAAAATGAAATTGACAAGAATAAATTTATACACATCATCATCTTTATTACATTACAATAGCAAATGGACTGAAGATGAATGAACGAGAATAAAGAAAAAGAATGGATGAGAGAATGAGGAAGAGAGAGAGATAGAACACAATGACGCATAAGAGACATATCGAGATCAGTTGAGGGCGTGTATCAGAGAGTGGCTTTTGTTGCCAGATTTTCATTGTTTTGTTGTCAAATCCACAAAATTCTTGGCATTTTTTATTTGTCATATTATTCGGTTTATCATTGTATCTATTTAATAACAATATTGCTGAAATACGGAAAACGAGATAGATGGTGTCAAATGTGAAGGACGGCATGACATGTCATCTACAAACAGTTCATAAAATCGTAGGAAATTGAAATAAAAGAAGCGCACACAAACACACATACACCATGAAGTGAAAAATAACAACGAATCAGAGATGAACAACACAGCGAGACAATGATGATAGCGCAACGATACAAAAACAAACCGTATTCAAGTTTGATTTGAGCTCGAACATTTTGCAAATTTTGCATAAAATGCTTGTGAATGATGCACTTATACACATTCCTGTAGCGATTTGAAATATGTTTCATTGTTTCAAAAGTACCTCTTCGATGTTTATGTCTGTATGTGTGAATAGACAAAATGAGAGAAATTTGCGACGAAAACCGAAAATATTCCACATGCGGTACTTCATTTGGTTGTGAGTTTGGTTTTGATCTGCCATCATCAGCAATATATGAATTTATGTATATGGAAAGTTTTTGGTGGAAATGAACGATGCGTGCACAGCGTGATGGTTTACTCAATTTGGTTGGGAATTTAATCAGAACCAAAGAAAAGCGCAAAACAAACGAAAAATGAAAAAAAAAAAAAATCATTCACTCTATGCAACATGCGAAAAATATACCATTGAATAGCATCAACAGCAAAAGCAGCAGAGCAACATCAGCAGAAGTAAGAGCATTGAATCAAAGCATCCGTATAAAATATTCATTTTGAATATTTAACTGAATTCGAGATTTGTTGCTACTCAAGCAACGCAATGAAGCAAAAAGAGATCGACATTTTAGCTGCTTATCATTCGCAGAATGATGCGTTCATTCTTTTTATTCATTCTCCTTCTTTCTCTTTCTCTCCCATGTCTTTTCTTACTCAAAATATTATTCGTAAAGAATACGAAAACTATTTGCTTTAGTTATTTCGACAAAGAAAAAATATATAGCTGAAATGGTTTGGCTCGATTTGGTGAAAGAGCATGACGATGTGATATGAATCGTAAATGATAAGCGAAACCATTTGAAATGGACCCAAAAAAAGACAGTTGCGCGCGATTTTTGTCTGCATGTATGTATGTGTTTGCAGCTAGTTTATAGCCCGGCAAATGGATCGTTAAAAGAAATTCCTTAAGCAGTTTTGGCACGTCTCTCACACAACAATACCGAAAATGGATTGAAAATAGACAATAGTTTTCAACGAGATTGCTTGAAATTGTTGATTTGTATACAATAAACATTATCCCCTATTACATAATATGCATATTATGCAAATTGCGACAATGTATGAATAGGATTGGGCACCAAATGCATTGCACAAGCACAAGCACCAAACGGATATTTGTATACATGCCTGAAGCGCACTATCAGCTTCATGAAATGTTAAATTCAATTTTGAGCAATAAAACGAAGATAGAGAAAGAGAGAGAGAGCGAAGAAGAAAAAAATCGCTTCAAACTTAACTGCAAGTCATAAACACACATGAACCAATTCAACGATTGTTTAAATTTTATTCTGGTTTTATTCAGCTTCCGCAAAATGTATTGCGTTTCAATCAATACATGTTTCGTCGTATAATATTGTCGTTGTAGACACATATAATGTCTGGCAATTTCGTTGCAATCCCGAAGGACTCCCACTCTTCGGCGGCACCAAAAAAAAAAAAAACAAATGCAATCAAACTCGAGGAAAAACAAACGAAACGTCTCGAATCGAACAGCCAGTCAAACAAAATGTGATTCAAAGTGCATTCAAACAGTAAACGTGCAAATCGCAACGAATTTAAGCTTTAAATACAAAGTCTGGAATTAAACAAACTTCGGTGAAAACGCTTTTGCTCCATTTACCCGTTGAGAAAAATGTTTATTGCCGGTTGAAATTCATCGTTATTGTCGTCGTTGCTGGTTTTTGTATATGTATAAGTTTCTTTTATTCATTTTCGGAATTGTTTGGTATTTGTGCAGTTAGCAGTTTATGTAGTAATTTTGGTACTTGTTATGTTTATGTCTGTTTTACAGGTAAAAAAAAAACACTAAAATGCGATGCAATTCCGAATGACTGCCATTAAACGACGACGTCTCAGCAGGATCAATTGAGACCATGTTTTGATACTGTTATTCGTAAGTATTACATGATTCCGAAACGGGTTGCATTACCATTTTTGAATGCCATATCCAAATCACATTCTATTGCAATATGAATGAAATTGCCAAAAACTAAACTCATTCGATCGATACACATTGGAGACTTGTTACAATGCAAACACAAATACCAATTTAAAACGAAGATATTGAGAATTTGTTCAGCTTTATTGAAATTAGCACAATACACCCAATATTACAAAGTTTTAAGAATATTGCAAGCTTCTAAATAATACCCATGATAATATAAAATAATCTCAGATTTAATTCACTGATAATCGCATCAAGATAATTACCGTGACAAGATTAACCGAAGCCATGGTACATCAAATCGCAAAAGGATCATCTGCTATGTGTCGAACCACATGATATGAAAAGATACCATTAATTCAATACAAAATGGAAGCTCATCATCGTATTGAAAATGATTTGGTTTAAATCCAAAATGTTGGATTTTTTTTTTGTGTACGGATGATTTGAGAAAAGTTCTCACTCTATTGACACAACTGGTGGTTCGTAGTTCACCATCGTTAAGAAATGACATAATAAATACAATATGGAGTTCAAGTAATAGTGAGCGACTGGTGTTGAATAAAATATACTCGCTTCTATTTTTAGTTCAAATGGTGAAACATGATGAGGAGTGGGTGTTAGTTATTGTTATTTAAATATATTAAATATATTAAAAAAATATATTGCTTGGTTCGAACAAAAAGCTGTAAATGTCAAAGTGTGTATGTGCCTGGGTTACGGAAATTTCGAATTTACCGGAAGACAAAGTTATTTTGATTTTAATCAAAATTTGATACAATAGTTTTGTAAGGCGC